TCACTTGGTAGCCCAGGCTGGCCTCGAACTCACAGAGATCCGCCTGCCTCTGCCTCCTAGTGCTGGGATTAAAGGTGTGCCACCACCACTCGGCTCTGCAGTGATATCTTATTCTGTAAATTCCTGGTTTAAATCTTTTAGTGTGTCATTATTGCTATTACAGTAATGTTCAATTTTGTTGTATAGACTAAAATTGATGTGGACCCTCTGTAGGGTTTCACTGTGTTGTTTGCATATGCTTCTACGCCTCTCCCTTTTCTCAGTCTCTTCATGTCTGTTCAATCTCACTTTCTCCCCTCCTATCTGTCTTTATCTTCTCCCATCTTTCTATCACACAGAACAAGCTGTAGTTCATCAATCATGATATAGCCTCTCATGCTACAGTCCTTAAATTTCACTACTACCTTTTCCTGGAGCGTTTTTCAACTATTCTTGCTTTGCCTTGGCTGGCTATCATCTGTTCTTTGTAGAATAAAATGTAATTTCCTTCAGACAGCCTTATGCAAGGCTAAGTTATTTTCTCTTTGTGCATGTTTTTGTCATTAGTGGTGTGTCCAACCTTTTAAAGTCAATATGCCCTTTAGGTGAGCAGTGTCATTTTCTCTTGGCAATTTAAAACCTTTGCCTTTCCAATTGTACTGTAACATATAATGTGTTTCCACAACATCGCCTGCTCACCCTTGAATTCCCATCAGCATCCCTTCCCAAAGATGTTCCTTACCATCACCCTTGTCTGTTTGCAATCACTGCTCTAGGAAGGTAAATTTTCGTTAAAGAAGGAGTGAAGAAGAATTCTAGGAAACAGTTTTGTGGTTGTTTGTAATGGCATTTCTCCCCAGGGATTCAGAGAAACCAAGTGCAGGAGAGAAGGCTCCACACTTCACAAACTGCTGTGGTATTTGAACTGCCAAAGTCCTACTCTGCTACTATGGAGCCTTTCACCCATGATCATTACTCTTTCCTACTAATTGATACATGCAAATATTCAACCAGTTTCATGTTTCTTGAAGTGTGTTTGATGTACACTAATATTGGCCACACGTTACTACAAAAGTATGGACCATGGCTTGATGTACTTGGGATGCCTTAGCTCAAGTAGTATTCCATGGGCTTCTTACACTCATCCTGTAACATTTAAATGGCATGAACAGTCCTCAAGCAGGGAATTTAGTATGTTTTTCTTTAACTTGTATTATTCTTGACATCCCTCTGGTTAAATTTTCCTGTGGAACTGGTCTTTTGTTTGTTTGGCTGGTAGTTTGGGTT